ACCACTGTCTTAATACACACAGAGACTCTAGTTTGTCGATTACTTCATTAGTATGCCTCTTGCGGTATACCAGATGGTCTTTATAGCTGGAAGACACTCCTTGTACGGAGTCTGTTTAAGTTGTTGCACAACGTTTTTTGCTGCACCAGGCTTTGCTCTAGTGCATTGCCTCTCCCAATGGCTCTTTCTGGGCCATAGGCCATGAAAAAATTGATTAAAGTTGGCCATTTCCTTGGTGCATACAGAAGGGGATCTTTAAAGTGTTAATCCTGACGTGTTAGATTTGTATTGGCCTTTGTTCCCAATTGCTAAACAAATTTTAAAGGACTGCTTTTTTGCATCCGACACACCCAAAACACGAAACCATAACTTTGAGCACTGTTTAGTATTTAAAATACTGTGTCCCAATTTATACACATGAATTTTGTGCACATTCTGACAATATACATTGACTTTCCCTTGCATGCTATCAATCTGGCAATACATCTTGATCACTAGCCCTTTACAAGTTAGGGAAACTGGCTTCTTGATAGTGATGTGTGCACTTACTAGCAATTTGTTTTCAACAACTGTAACTAACAATGACAGGTTTAGATCACACACACACGTATATATATATAACAGCCTGGTTCGGCCACATCTGGAGTATTGTGTCCAGTTCTGGTCACAAAGATGTGGACGTGTTAGAAGAGGTGCAGAGGAGAATTACCAGGATGTTGCCTGGAATGGAGGGAAGGTCTTACGAGGAAAGGTTGAGGGAGCTAGGGCTCTTCTCTTCAGAACGAAGGATGAGAGGTGACTTGATAGGAGGTGTGCAAAATGATCAGAGGTATAGATAGAGTAGACAGCCAGAGACTTTTTCCTAGGGTGGAGGTAGCTTTTACGAGGGGACATAGTTTTAAAGTGAAAGGAAATAGATATAGGGGAGACGTCAGAGGTAGGTTCTTTACTCAGAGTGGCAGGGGCGTGGAATGCCTTGCCAGAGAGGGTAGTGGAGTCGGCCTCATTAGGGGCATTTAAGCAGCTATTAGATAGGCATATGGATGATAGTACAAGGTAGCGGTAGAGGTTAGATAGACCTTAGGTTTAGGGTAGAAGTTCGGCACAACATCGTGGGCCGAAGGGCCTGTACTGTGCTGTACTGTTCTATGTTCTATCTTTAAAGATGGCTGACTATGTGTTCTATCTGTACATCAACTTGCTTGACTGCTATTCATGCATGATAAACTCACTAGTATGACATTTGTATGGAGCACCAGCTCAGTTCTCCATGTTGTATTAATGATAATGTGTGTCATATTAATATGGTCTAGTAATCATTTTTTCATCAAGGAGTTAATAACTCAGCATTAGTTTATTTGAAACAGTAAAACACATTACAAGTTATGAAGCTAACATTACAGTAAATCAACGATTTGTGTTTACAGCCTTCACACCTATAGCAGATTAACTGTCAGGTAGTGACAACATTGTACACACAAAACACTTGGGAGTCCTTAAAAGTGAACTCTTAAAAAGGGAGATACACACACAACGACCCATTGTTTGGGAAGTTCTGTACCACAGCCTGACAATGCACACCTCCATCTCAAATAAGTGTATGCAGCTCATTAACTTATATATAGCTAAAAAGTGAGAATATCCAATTAACTGCCTCTATTTCATGTCCTTCCCTTAGCACACTGGCTAAATCTGCTTTAATGTTACCCCACCACTGTCCTAACCCTGAAATTGCATCTTTGTATAGATTATCTTCTACCTCCATTCACGCTGAGTGGAGGCCTTGTGATCAACTGATCCTATTTCTACCTAATTGCTGATTGTCAACTTTCCTCCCAAGGCCCCATGTTAGCACAAATTGTAAACAGCCCTTTTCATCTGTTCTCCCTCTCCTTTAAATTTGCTGTTATCACTTCTCCCCACAAACGAAAACCCTATGAGCCCACTGTTCTTATAACTCACCCACCATTTCTAAAGTCTTCCCAATTCACTCATTGTTCCTGTAATACTGTTCAATTCCTTCAAATCCAGTTTCCACCCGGTCACAGTACAGTAAAACAGCTCTCAAAATAACAAATGGCATCCTGTGCGATTTTAATAAAGTAAACTTCTACTCCACATCCTTCTTGACCTGTCGTCAGTCTTTGACATAGCTGACCACACTGCCTTCCTCCTGTACCTCAAGATTTTGTCTAGTTAACTAGCTCTCACCCGATTCCATTCTTACCTATCTAATCACTGCAGAACGATCCCTTGCAGTGGGCTACACTTGGTGTTCCATTATCTCTGGTGTTTTGCAAGGATTGATTCTTGGCCTCCAATCCATTTCTCCTCGACATACTGCCCCAGAGACATGACAAGGGCAACCCCAGTTTTTTTTTCCCCTTATGCTGAAAACCTACGGGTGTCAGATTCCTGGTAAATATAAGGAAATTGTTTCCACTGGAGGATGGATCTGTAACCAGAGAATCCAGATTTAAGATAACTGACAAAATAAGAGGAAAGATCAGATGTTTTTAAAGTGGTGACTTGTACTGTCTCAAAACGATGGCGGAAACAAATTGGATTGGAACTTTGAAAAAAATGAATCGGATATTTGTGTAAAAAGAAAAAAGAACAGACCAAAGAGGAAAAAAGGAGAGTGGAACTAATTTGATGACTTTTTCAAAGGCAGATGGATCAAATGTTATCTTGAAGCACAAAAACAAGTTATGATAAAGTATTCATGAGTAAGAAAACTGCATCACAACAATTATAAAACTATGAACCAAATTTGAGAAAGTCAGTATGATCCTTTGGAATTTTTCAAAAGTCCATTGAAACTGTATTAATTTTTCAGCTTAGATTTAAGTGCAGGTATAGTTTAATCACAAATGGATTGATGCAAGCAGAAAGTTTACCAGGAAATTGTGCTGATTTTATGCAATATTCCATTAAGTCTGTTGTAGAGTCAGAGGACGGAAACAGATCCTTCAACCAACTAGTCCATACTGAACATAATCCCAAACTAAAACTAGTCCCACCTGCCTGCTCCTGGCCCATATCCCTCCAAACCTTCCTATTCACGTATTCATCCAAATGGATTTTAAACATTATAACAGTATCTGCATCTACCACTTCATCAGGAAGTTCATTCCACCCATGAACCTCTCACTGTGTAAAAAAAAATTGTCTTATCTTTTTAAAAAATCTCTCTCCTTTCACCTTAAAAAAGGTGTGCCCCTACTCTTGAAATTCCCGATCTTGGGGAAAGATACCTACCATCAATTCTATCTATACCTCTCATTATTTTATAAACTTCTATCAGGTCACCTCTCAACCTCCTATATTCCAGTGAAAATTGTCCCTGCCTATCCAGCCTTTTCTTATAAATCAAACCGTCCATATCTGACATCCTGGCAAATCTCTTCTGAACCCTCTCCAGCTTGATAATATCCTTCCTGTAATTGGGTGACCAGAACTGGCACAGTATTCCAGAAGAGGCCTCACCAATGTCCTGTACAACTTCAACACAACATCCCAACTCCAATACTCAATGGTCTGAGCAATGAAGGCAAGCATGCCAAATGCCTTTTTAACCATCCTGTCTATATGTGATGCAAACTTTAAAGAATTATGTACCTGCACCCCAGGTCCCTTAATTTCTACAAACTACTCAAGGCCCCACCATTAATTGTATAAGCCCTAACATTGTTTTTTGTACAAAAAACGCAATACATTACATTCATCCAGATTAAAATCCATATGCCATTTTTTTCAGTCCATTGACTCATTTGATCAAGATCCCTTTGTAACCTTAGAAAACCTTCTTCACGGTCTACAATGCCACCATTTTTGATGTAATCTGCAAACTTACTAACCATGCCTTCTATACTCTTATCCAAATCATTTATATAAATGACAAACAAACAAAAAAAAAAAAACCAGAATTGATCCCTGTGGAACACTGCTGGTCACAGGCCACCAGTCCAAAAAGCAACCCTTCATCATTACTCTCTCTTCTACTGTTAAACCAATTATGTATCCAATTGGCAAGCTCACCCTGAATCCCATCTGACTTAACTTTACTAATTTAGTCTACCACGTTGGCATAATTATTCAGAGGACTAGCTCGAGCTTACAAAGGAAGGCACTATAATTGGAGATCAGAAATTGCCCAAGTACACTTAATCATATGCGTAAAGATTGGTGGTTAAGATCAAGTCAATTTCTTTTAGATATTTGGAAGTGTCATTTTGAATCATTTGCAGACTAAGTTTTTGAGGCAGGAGCAGACTAGCAAGTAACTCATTGTATGGTCAGAGATACTACAGTAATATTGCAAAAGCTAGTTAAGAACATGATAATCCAAGGCATCACGTTATATAGAACGCAGAATAGTAATAGAATGTCACAATGGCCAGCACGCATTGGATACTGTAACGTCAAATCTCGAGATTTCATCCATCTTCCAAACAGCAGTCTAGTAATTCCATTGTACAGTTCTTTGTAAATACATCAAAGTTACATTTTATGGTGAATCTCTCCTCCTTTCCAGTTCTGAAATACTCATCACACAGAATGTAACAATACATTTTCCGTTTAGTTAGTTAAGTGCAATTTTCTGGTCGCAAGGTTTGGTCCATTTCATTCACTACTGGTAAAGAAAAGGTCCGAAAGGGTTGCAAGGCGCAGACAAAAATGGCAGAGGGTGATGCTGAGAAGCTATCACTCAGGCCAGGTTTGCCGCGTTCGGCTGTCGGCAAAGTGGCCACGTGTTAGCCTCGGCAGCGAGAGCAGCTTCCCACCCAGTCCTGACTCATTGTAACATCAGCAATTTAAAACATGGCGTTGCGACCAACACATGTTACAAAGGGAGTGAATGGCGAAGTTTACAATTCGACTATAGAAACAGGAAACGAAAATAAGGGCCAAAGCTCACAAAAAATCGTTAAATTCTTCAGCCAGCCGGTGATTTTGTGCGAATATTCAGGTATTTACCAGCCGCCGTTGCCGCTTACCCTGTTCTTTCGGTATCCGGACCACGCAGTCAATAATTCCCTTGTACTGTTGATCGACGCTGATCTGCTTGCTTGACGCTTGGACCTGCAACAGCAACTTCACCCTCTCGATGGGCGCAACTGCCGTCTTGGAGACGGCGGCGGCAATACCGCCAGCCAGAAGGTCTTTGATAAAGGACGTTAAGTCGAAAATATTCGACCCAGCAGCCATATCTAACGGCGGTGGATATAAACGTTACCAAGCACGAGGCGTAATCAGCGTCTGAGCGCGAGACAAAGGGAGCGACAACGTGACTCCTCGGGACTGAAACTGAGGTCACGTGAATACCTCGCCGGCTCTGACGGCAGAGCACGTGCCACGGTTGCCTTTTTCTTCCACTCTCTCTGTAAAGCCGTGGGAAGTAGAGAACTTCATACTGAATTGGGCAGAAAATAATGATTATGCTTAGCAGGTAGGAAAGCATTGTATGTGGAGAGAAGCTGAGATAACGTTTTAGGTGGATAATGTTCTGCCCCTCCCCTTTTCACTCCACTTGCTTAAAATCTGTTACGTTTTGCATTTTCTAATTTGACAGAAGGTCGCAAGTTTGAAGTGTCAGCTCTCGTTTCTCTCTGCACGGATGATACTGGATTCCTGCGCATTTCCAGTAGTTTTTAAATAAAGGACCTGGGAAGGTTATAATAATTTAATGACACCAGGGCAAAACATGGTGAAGTAGTGGTTGCTGGACAAATAATCTTAAAACCTGGGTTAATGTTCTGAGAACATGGGCTCAAAACCCTGCAGGGCAGCTGGTGGAATTTGTATGAGTTGTCCATTTTGAAAATGAAAAGTTGCCTGCAAATTCCAACTTGGAAAGACAATAAAGTCAGATTCAAGAATATACAAATGAACAATATTTCAATAACTGCTTGGCAGAGCAGGAAGCACAACAAAACAGGTTTGTAACAGCAAGGAGTGGAAGACTTTCTCTCTGTTTATCTTCCCAGCATCTCAAAAGGTCAGCATTGTTCATAAAACAAATCAGAGGAACATATTCACTGAGAATGTAAAGATTCCACAAATTCTGCTACTGTTGAGGATACAAGATATCAAACTTTAAGTGAGGCTTTTGAGCAAAGACATTGTGGGGTTAAAAATTAATCTTGGAAGCTAAACTTACTAAGTGCAAAAGCAGCAAAGCAACTTTATTGTGAGACAAATGGTTCATTCCGGTAAACAAAATCACAAAGATATTTCCCTGAGGACATTCTGCTTAGCACCCACTTTGATCCTACAATCAGATACTCAGTGTTGATGCTATTTCTCCAACTGAAAATAATATATTCCATCAAAGCAAGGTATCCCTGGCTCCCAAGTTGATCTTTATGTAAAAGATTTTAGCTCCTTCTTTGACAGGGGATATCGTATGGGCCCATCTGGGTGCGACAATGGTGTCCTCTATTTCTTAATCAGATTAAGATGATGGGATTATCCAGTGTTATTGCTATGTTGTCCCAAATTCCAGTCCTTTTGTAGGCAGCACTGATTGTAGTGTAGTTTATAAACCGCTTGAAACTCTATATTCTTGAGGAAGTCTTCTGGTTTACCAGTTGACATTGCCTTGCCACTAGTGCAAAACAATAGGTTGCTTGATATTTGAATGAAAGACCCTGCATTGAGTGGCTATACACATGATACTCATGTTTGTGTATGTATTTGATGATGCATCTTATTTTCATGAGATTAGTAAATAATAACCAGTCCTGCCACATCACGTCATGAATGGTGGTGAACAATTAAACAACTCAGTGGAAGAGGAGGTTCTGCAAATATTCCCATCCTCAGTGATAGGGTAGCCTAGCACAGCCATAAAAAAAGATAAAGCTGGACCATTCTGAACAACTTTCAACCGAAATCAAAATCCTGGACCTTTCCCCCTAACAGCACTTTGGGTGTTCTTACAACCAAAGGACTTCAGCAGTTCAAGAAGTCAGCTTACCTCCAACTTCTCAATGGCAGTTAGCAATGGAGAATAAATTCTGGCCCAGCCAGCAATGCCGACATCCCAAGAATGAGTAAAATAATGACAGAATGCACAGGGTACAACAGATGTTATGATTCTTGACAATAGTCCAGCCATAGTACTATAGGTCTGTTTTTCAGAACTAGCTGCACTTCTAGCTGAGCTATTCTAACACAGCCTCAAAACCAGTAGTGTAGAAGGCAGCGCAGGATTTTGCAACCACAAAAAGCAGGTCAAATCCAAATCAGCCAATCATTGTGCTATCAGTCTACTGTCAATTATCAAAGTAACAGAAGGTGTCATTAACACTGTGTAATGGTTACTTTGTGCTTATAAAGATAATTGGGCAGTGGACTCTTTTTAAAGGAAACAACATGGATTAAAGGACACTGTACTATCTGAAGATGGCTTTTGGATGACTTCTGTTTTTTTTGAGATCAAGAAAGAAGTGGTGTTGGGTCTGTTGAAGAGCATTAGGTAGATAAGTTTTCAGGGCCTGATGGTATCTAGTCCAAGTTATTGAGAGAGGCAAGACAGGAGATTGCTATTACCTTGACCGAGATCTTTGTATCCTTGCTTGCCACTGGCGAGTAGCTGTGTTGATCTTCTGTTCAAGAAATGAAATAGGGATAATCAGGAAACTATAGACCGGTGAGTCTCATATTGGTGGTTAGGAAACTATTGGATAGAATTCTTAGGGATAGGATTTATGTGCATTTGGAAAAGCATGGCCTAATTAGGGATAGTCAGCATGGCTTTGTGCAGGGCCAGGTCATAGTAACTTGATTGATCACCTTTGACACCTCCTCAAAAAATTCAATGATGGTACAGCCATGGATGTTGTCTACATGAATTTTAGTAAGGCTTTCGACAAGGTCCCTCACGGTAGGCTCATCCAGAAGATTAAGATGCATGGGATCTACGGTGATTTGGCTGTGTGGATTCAGAATTGGCTTGCCCATTGAAGGGTAGTAGTGGAAGGGTGTTTTTCAGGCTGGAGGTCCGTGACTAGTGGTGTTCTGCAGTGATCCGTACTGGGACCTCTGCTGTTTGTGATATACATAAATGACTTGGATGGAAATGTAGGTGGGTGGGTTAGTAAGTTTGCAGACGATACGAAGATCAGTGGAGTTGTGGATAATGTAGAAGGTTGTCAAAGGATACAGCGGGATATAGATCAGTTGCAGATATGGGCGGAGAAATGGCAGATGGAATTTATTCCAGGTAAGTGTAAGCTGCTGCGCTTTGGGAGATCAAATGTTAAGGAAAAGTATACAGTTAATGGCAGGACCCTGAGCAGCATTAACATACAGAGGGATCTTGGGGTTCAAGTCCATAGCTCCCTGAAAGTGGCCACACAAGTAGATAGGATGGTAAATAAGGTGTACGGCATGCTTGCCTTGGTTGGTTGGGGAATGGAGTACAAGTGTTAGGATGTCACATTGCACCTTTATAAGACTTTGGTTAGGCCACACTTAGAGTACTGCATTCAAATCTAATTTCCACATTACAGGAAGGATGTGGAGGCTTTGAAGAGGGTACAGAAGAGATTTATCAGGATACTACCTGGATTAAAGAGTATGAGCTATAAGGAGAGGCTAGCAAAACTCAGGTTGTTTTCTCTGGAGTGGTGGAGGCTGAGGGGAGACTTGATAGAAGTTTATAAAATTGTGAGGTGCATAGATAGGGTTGACAGTCAGAATCTTTTTTTCCAGAGTTGAAACGTCTAAAACTAGGGGGCATGCATTTAAGGTGAGGGGGGAAAGTTCAAAGAAGTGAGGAGGAGCAAGTGTTTTTTTTAAACACAGAGTGTTAGGAATCTGGAATGTGCTGCCAGGGATGGTGGTGAGGCAGATATGATGGGGTGTTTAAGGGGCTTTTAGATAAGTACATGAATATGCAAGGAATGGAGGGATAAGGACCAAGGGCAGGTAGAAGGGATTAGTTTAATTTGGTGTCATGCGCGGCACAACATTGTGGGCTGAAAGGCCCATTCCTGTGCTGTATAGTTCTACGTTCTACATTTTATTCTGTACAGACAGACAAAATATCTAGGAAGCTACTTAAAAATACAAATAGGGATGTTCCAAGTGCATACTGACTATGCCTCCTCTTTCAATGAAAGGAAATGGGGAGGCGATGGCCTAGCGGTATTGTTGCTGGAATCTTAATCCAGAGACCCAGATAATGTTCTGGGTACCTGGGTTTGAATCCTGCCACAGCAGATGATGGAATTTGAATTCAATAAGTATCTGGAATTAAGAGTCTAGTGAATCCATTGTCAATTGTTGGAAAAACCCATCTGGTTCACAAATGTCCTTGAGGGAGGGAAACTGCCATCCTTACCTGGTCTGGCCTACATGTGACTCCAAACACACAGCAATGTGGTTGATTCTTAACTGCCCTCTGGGCAATTAGGGATGGGCAATAAATGCTACCTAGCCAGCAACACCCTCATCCTGTGAATGAATAAAGGAAAAAAAATGAAAAAAATGTCTACTAGACCTGTTGGCACCATGAAGATGTAATATCAAATGTGGTCTTCCAGTGAGCTATGTTGATTGAATATCAATCATCACTATTGGGATATACAAATCACTTTGGCTCCCAAGGCATTAGTTGGACAAGGCGACACATAAAAGTTGAAATGTTATGACTAAAACAAGGAGAAGTATTTGACATCTTATCACTCAACCATAAATCAACTCAGCAAGGCAGGGATCAACATCAAAGAGAGATCATCACTCAGTAAGAACGTCATGGTAAAGCGCAGGACAAATGGGGAATTCCTAACAAAGGTACACAGGAAAGCCACACACACTGACCAAGTACTGAATTTCAACAGCAACCTAACACACACAAACGAAGTTGCGCGAGAACATTATTTAAACGGGCAACAACACATTACAGCAGCACAGAGCTACACCAAAAAGAAGAGTACCTTTTCCAGGTATTCAAAAACAATGGATACCCAAAAAACTGGATCAGAAGATGCCTATTACACAAACGACACCAGGAAGATACTACACACCCCGACACACACACCACGCCAATTTACATCAGGAACACATCTGAACTGACCACAAGACTCCTATGACCACTGGGCATCAAAGTAGCACACAAACCCACATCAACCCTATGACAACTGCTCACCCGAACCAAAGACCCACTACCCACTATGGACAGGACCAATGTCATATACAAGATATCCTGCAGAGACTG